TTGGAACTAGCTACCCACAGAGACCTTCTCTTTGCAAAGTTCAGGTGTGGTGTTTGCTGTCCTAAATTTTCAAATTCACTGGCGCTTAGATTTTAGAAGTGTACACAATTCAATGATTTGAAAACTCCAATTCTTGGATCTGGGTTCCCAGTCTACACAATCACAGGGTTCTGACTATTTCTGGACCTATACTGTCACCTACAGGCTCTGAATGGATCTACACCCCAGGAACAAGCAAGGAATGGGATTGGGGGGAACCCAGCTGTTCAGGAATTTATAAAATGAGGGAGTGATTACAGAGGATTCTGACAAGCAACCTGATGAGGAAACCTCTCTTCTCCCTTTGTTCACTTTCTTGAAGCATTAAATTCCTCCCAAGGCTTCAATTCTCAGGTTCCAAGGGTCTCAGACTCCAACCAAATTCCCTTCCCTCCCTTTAAGCCTGCTTCCCCCGAAGCCTTCCCCATACCAGGAATTGCTCCAGCCCTAAACACTAAAGTCACCCTGGAGAAGTCTTTGTCTTCTCTCTTTCTCCCATGTCTAGTGTCCTATGTCTAGTCCATCAGCAAACCCTGTCTGCTCCATCTTTGAAAGCTCTCTAGAATTTGACCACTTCACACTACCTTTCCTCCTCTTACTCTGGTCTGCGTTGACATCATCTCTCAACTAGAAAAGACTCCTCCCTGGACATTTCAAAAATATATAGATGATACAGATATAGATATATAGATGCACACACACACACACACACAAATGGCCAGCAAGCAAATGAAAAGCTGCTCAACAGTGAACCCAACAAACCAGTTTGTGCTCATAGCAACAAACAAAAAATTATTAATCATTAGGGAAATTCAAATCAAAACCATAATGAAACAAACAACTAATGTTTGTGAGGATGTGGAGAAATTGGGACCCATTACTGGTGGGAATGTAAAATGATGCAGCCATTTTACATGGAAAACAGTCTGGCAGTTCCCCAAAGTATAGAATTTCCATATGATCCAGCAATTCCACTTCTGGATGTGTACATGAAAGAGTTGAAAGCAGGGAGACAAACAGATACATGTATCAGTGTTCATAGAACTATTATTTACATTAGTCAAAAGAAACAACCCAAATGTCTATCAACAGATGACTGGATAAACAAAAATGCAATATACATACAATGGACTTTTATTCAACCCTAAAAGGAATGAACTGCTGACACATGCTACACCATGAATGAAACTTGAAGACATTATACTGAGTGAAATAAGCCAGATGCAAAGGACAAGTATTGTATTATTCCACCAACATAAAATATCCAGAATAGGCAAACTCATAGAGACAAAGATTAGTAGTTATCAGGGACATGGGGAGGAAAAAGAATGGAGGGTTATTGCTTAATGAATATGGAGTTTTTGCTTGGAATGAAGAAATTTTCTGGAAATAGATAGTGGTGATGACTACACACATTATGAATGTACTTAATGCTACTGACTTACATTTTTACTTTGTTATATGTTTTTGCCTGCATTTTTTTTTTAATCCTCACCCAAGGACATTTTTCCATTCTTTGTTCAGATAGAGTGGGAGGGGGAGAGAGAGAGAGAGATATCGATGTGAAAGGGACACATCGAGTGGTCGCCACCCGCACGACCCAACCAGGACCAGGGACAAACTGCAACCAAGGCATGTGCCCCCTGCATAAAAATATGCAGGAACTCGACTGCATATTTTTAAATAATTAAGATTGAGCATCAAAAAGATAAAAGAGCCCTGGCTGGTTTGTCCCCAGCCCTGGTTGGGTCGTGTGGGTGGCAACCACTCGATGTGCCCCTTTCATGTCGATGTTTCGTTCTCTCTCTCTCTCTCCCTCCCACTCTATCTGAACAAAAAATGGAAAAATGTCCTTGGGTGAGGATTAAAAAAAAAAAGACAAAAGAGCCCTGGACAGTTTTGCTCAGCGGGTAGAGAGTCGGCCGCGGACCAGAGAGTCCCAGGTTCAGTTCCCGCTAAGGGCACATACCTCAGTTGCAGTTTGTCCCTGGTCCTTGTTGGGGTCATGTGGGTGGTAGCCAGTTGATGTGTCTCTCTCACATCAATGTTTCTCTTTCTCCCTCCTGCTCAACAGATGCAAAAAATGTCCTTGGGTGAGGATAAAAAAAAATTTTTTAAAGACAAAAGATAACAAATGCTGGCAAGAACTTGGAGAAAGGGAACCTTTGTGTACTGTTAGCAGGAATGTACATTGGTATAGTCCCTATGGAAAACAACATGAAGGGCCCTCAAAAAATTAAAAATTGAACTACCATATGAGTCAACAATCTGAAAGAAATGAAATCACTATGTTGAAGCAATATCTTCATCCCTATGTTCATTGCAGCAATATTTAGAACAGCCAAGATGTGAAACAACCTAAGCATCCACCAACAGATGAATGAACAAAGAGAATGTGATATATATAATGGAATATCATTCAACCATAAAAAAGAAGAAAATTCTGCATTTGCAACAATGTGGATGGATCTTGAGGACATTATGCTAAGTGAAATAAGTCAGACAGAGAAAGACAAATATTGTATGATCTCATTTATATGTGAAATATTAAAAAACAAAATATAGAAAAAGAAATTAGATTTGTGGTTACCAGAGGTGGGGAGATAGGGAAGTGGGAGAATTGGAGGAAGGTAGTCAAAAGATACATCTGCAATGATTCTATTTCCAAATTAGGTCGCGTTCTACAGTACTGGGTGTTAGGACTACAACATGAATTTTGGAGGTGACACAATTCAATCCATAACCCCCCCACATAGACACCCCACTGCTCACACAGACGTTGCCCTTGTTCTCCTCCATCTCCCTTCCTTCCCCACCAACACTCCCTTTATCTGGAAAACTCAATTCCTTCCCCAACACTAGGCCCAGACACGCCTCATCCCCCTCCAGGAAGCCTGTCCTGATTCCCTCACAGCTGTGATTGGCTGGGCAAAGTTGTGGCTACCTCCTTTAAAGGTTTCCTGTCACCATCAGGGGCTCAACCTATGCAACTCCAAAGGCTTGTTTCAAAAATATAAGTTTCTGTGAAAAATGATTTCAGGAGGTCGGGTAGGATTGCCAAATTTAGCAAATAAAACTCCAGGCTAGACTGGGCATTTGCCCCTTCCAGGAGCCTGGCCTCAAGGACCACAAGTTTAAATGCAATTCTGATTTTTACCACCAGGGGGCAGCAGAACTGCAAAATTGACTTGAGTCTTCCAGGTCCAGGATCAGTCCTCAGCTAGGACCTAGGGGTCAGGGGGGACTAAGAGGGCCTGGAGCTGAGGAGGGGAAGGAAGCTGAAAGAAGGAGGGAGGAGCTGAGCACTGTGCCTGACTCTGTCCAACAAGAAGAGGAGGCCAGAGGGAGAAAGGTTGTAGTGGGTGTGATCAGAGAAGGCTCCTGGAAAGGAGACTCCTTGAATCAGGCCTTCAAGACAGGCAGGATTTGGACAGTAAAGAAGGGCCTTCAAGGAGGAAGGTATGACTTGAGCAAAGGCATAGAGGGAGGAATGGATTTGCACAGGGGATGTAGCCTGGCTTGAGGCAGTATGACAATGTCAGAAATTCTGAAATACCTCAAGCCATTGTTTTAGTCATTATTCATGGATATTAGTGACAGAAACCCACCTTAAATTGACTTAAGAAAATTATTCTCTCACGTAACTAAAAAGTCCAGGAGAAGGCAGCCTTTAGGCACGGCTGCATCCAGGGACTCACATGATATCACTGCCCCAGCAGCTCTCCATCTGTTGGCTCTGCCTCTCTCCGTGGTGGTTTTTTTTCTCAGGCAACTTCCTTCTCCTGGTGGCAAGATGGCTACTGGAAGTTCCATACAGACCCCCTAAAACATCCTAGACAGTAATTGCATCAGACGTCTGGGGTTACTCTGATTGGCCTGGACTGTGTCATATGCCCATCCAGAAACTAGTTGCTATAACTCTGGTTGACATAGTCTGAGTCACAGACCACCCCTGGCATGAAGGGTGGATCTGTTCACCCAACTCCTTGGACTGATATTGGGAGAGAGGGTGGTCTCCAAAAGAAAAGCAAGATGAGATGTTCTTTTCAGAAGATGGGACCACAGGTGCCAGGTAGACAAAAAGAGGAGGGGTCTTTATACTAGGTTCTTATCTCAGGGATGGTAAATAAAAAATTGTGGGGTAGCAAAGGGTGGGTTTATTGTTGTTGTCTGTTTATTTGTTTGTTTTGCTTATTAAATGTGAATGTATGAATGGTTGTTTTAAAGCCACGTCTATGGCTTCCATCCTGGCCAGACCTCCAATGTACTTTACTTAGACAGCTGCAGCCTGAACTCATTCATTTAATAACTAGCTGGTGACGTTTACCACGGGCTAGGTGCCGTGCTAGAAGCTGAGGGCATAGCAATGAATAAGGGATAACGTCTTTGCTTTCCTAGAGTTTATAATCTGTTGGGACAGATGGATAAAAACAAGGAGACAACTAAATACATAATGTGCCCTGTGATGATTATTAAATGCTGTGAAGAAAAATAAAGCAAGATAAGGGCAGGGCGATGGGTGCATGTGTATGTGCACGTGTGATATTCCATACAGGATAGTCAGCAGGAGGATCTGAAGGAGATGAGGAGTGAGCCAAGCTGAGATCTGAGGTAAGCATTCCAGGCAGAGGGAATAGCAAGTGCAAAGGCCCCGAGGCGGTAAAGAGGTTGATGTTTTCAAGGAATAACAAAAGTCCTCCTGGCTCTCAGTAGAGGAGCCAGAGGCAGGAGATGAAGGGTCTGTGGGCTACTCTAAGGACTTTGGCTTTTACTCCCTGAAACAAGGAGCCACTGGCGGGTTCTGAGAAGTGGAGGAACATGATCTGACTTTGGTTTGTTTTTTTGTTTTTTTAAAGAGACATCCACTTTATTATTACTTTTTCCTTTATTGATTTCAGAGAGAGAGGAAGTGAGAGGGAGAGAGAGAGAGAGAGAAACATCAATGAGCAGGAACACTGGCCAAAAATACTGAATACTTCACGAATTTGTGTGTCATCTTTGCACAGGGGCATGCTAATCTTCTCGGTATGGTTCCGATTTTAGTATATGTGCTACCGAAGTGAGCATTGACTTTGGTTTTGAAAGAACACCTGGCAGCCAGATAGGAAATAGGTCACCAGGAACAAGAGTGAAAGCAGGGTGACTGGTGGGAGGCTGTTGCAGTTGACCTCTTTGGGTGAGAGGCGGTGGTGGTTGGACCAGGGTGATGGTGGGGGAAAAGGTGAGATTCTGAATATATTTTGAAGGATGAGCCAATAGGATTTGCTGATGGATTGGTCATGGGGTATAAGAGAAAGAGAAGAATCAATAGTGACCCCAAAGTTTTGTTTTGCCTGAGCAACTATTAAGATAGAGTTGTCTTTTCAGAGACAGAAAGACTGAAAGAGGAGCAGTCCCCATATATTGAGAACCCACTATGTCCAGGAGTTGGCCTGTGACCAAGCCAACCTTGTTCTGGAGCTAGGCAAGAGAGACAGAGAATAACCACTAAACAAGTAAGTACATGAGAAGATACCAGGTAGTAGGAAGACCACAGGGATTAGAAGACCACAGAAGATTAGAACAGGGTCACAGGAGTCTGCATGTTATTGTAAGAGTAACCAGAAACCACTGGAGGGTTTTGTTTTTTTGTTTTTGTTTTTATCCTCACCCAAGAACATTTTTCCATTTTTTATTCAGATAGAGCTGGAGGGAGAGAGAGGAAGAGAGAGAGAGAAACATCGACGTGAAAAGGACACATCAAGTGGGCGCCACCCGCACGACCCAACCAGGGCCAGGGTCGAACTGCAGCCAAGGTACATGCCCTTAGCGGAAACCGAACCCGGGTCTCTGTGGACCGCAGGCTGACACTCTAATGCTGAGCCAAACCTGCCAGGGCTGTTTTTTGTGTGTGTGTGTGTGTGTGTGTGTGTTTTTATTGATTTTTAGAGAAAGAGAGAGGAAGGGAGAGGGAGAGAGAGGTAGAAACATAGATGAGAGAGAACATCAACTGGCCGCCTCCTGCATGCCCCCCACTGGGGATCAGGCCCACAACCTGGGCATGTGCCCTGACCCAGAATCAAACTGGCCACCTCTTGGTGCATGGGTCAATGCTCAACTACTGCGCCACACTAGCTGGGCCACTGGAGGGTTTTCAGCAGGATCTGCTTTAGGACCCTGGCTGTCACGTAGAGCAGATCGTCAGGGACAGAGGGAATGGGGATGCCAGCAAGGAAGTTGCTGAAGGCTTTGCGGTAGGAGATGGTGATGCTCACCTGGAAGAGTTTGGACAGAGGAATAGGGACAGGAAACTAACCTAATGTGAGAGGCACATTAGGACACAGCAGCATCACCATCCTTCTCCAGGGGCTGGTTAGGCACTGCATCCAGGAACTCTCAACCCCTAGCCCCTGCCACTGCATCAGTGACTGTCACTCTGCCGCTAATTGCCACATCACCCTTCATTTCCCTACAATCAGCTCCATCTCCGGGTATTCTATTGCCTCGGGAGCCACCCACTCTTGCTAATATCCTGTTGGTCCAGAGCCCTCGCCTACCAATGCAGCCTGTCCCTCCGGCTGTGACTTTCCAAAGCTTTTTCTAGGGTAGCAGGGAGGGGCTCCCACCCTCACATCATCCTGCAGCCCCAAGTCTGCTTTTCACCTCTCCATCCTCAAAACAAAACAAAACAAAACAAACTCTTGGTCATCTCAATCCTTCTCCCTAAATCTTCGAGTTGAATGACACCCAATGTGCGCACTGGACTTTACAATTGGCACCATCCACCCACCCATTTCACAGCCCAGGAAAGTGTGTTCTTTAGGGGAAAGACACACCAGGGCAGAAGCCTAGCTTTATCACTTCCTAACCCTCTTACTCTGGGCAAGACTTGTCAGATTCGATGCCCCAGTTTCCTCAGCTGGGAGATGGACGTCACAATCATCGTGGCACACGCGAAGGGTCCAGCACAGTCCCTGGCCTTTAGAAGTTGCTCAGGAGGTGAGAATCTCCTTCCCTATAGTGAGTTACCAGGACAGGAGTTTCAAACTCATGACCTTTTGCTAAGGCCAGCCATAGATTTGTTTTATTTAGTGGATATTGTGGCTTCTCTAATCTGACTGTTCTTAGAAGGGGGCACACATCTCCAGGGGGGCCAGAGACCTTACCACGTCTCACATTAAATAAAAATACCACATAGCCTACCCACTGTGGCCTCATTGGTTGAGTGTTGTCCCATGAACCAAAGGCCACTGGTTCAATTCCCGGTCAGGGCACATGTCCAGGTTGTGGGCTCCATCCCCAGTGTGGGGCATGCAGGAGGCAGCCGATGGATGTTTCTCTCTCATCAATGCTTCTATCTCTCTCTCTCTCTCTCCCTTCCTCTATCTGAAATCAATAAAAACATATTAAAATAATAAATATAATAATAATAAAATACCACCTAGCTTTCCACATTTCTCTTTATAGCTTAGCTCCTAAAGGCACTGTGGCAGATGATGTTTTCCAAGGTGGCCACAACTACATCTCCCACTCCATGTGCTCTTCTTGCAACGTGGCATGCACAGGCAGCCTTCCCACCGGGAGGTGGGGTCCATGTCTTCTGCCCTTGAATCAGCGTTGACCTGTGACTATAGCATAAGGGATGCTATGTGATTTCAAGGCTAGGTAATAGAAGGTGACACAGCTTCCACCTGGTTCTCTCAGGACACTTGTCCTTTGAACTCGGCCTCTATGCTGTGAGGAAGCTCAAGCAACATGGAGAGGACACGTGTGGCTCCAGCTGAGTTCTCAGGCAACGCCCAACAACGGCCCAACAACAAGGTATATGAACTTATGTAAGCATAAGGGTGCTTTTAAAATAAATCAAGCTCTCAAATAGCAGCTACATGAGAAACCCTAAGCAAGACCCCCCCCCCCTTTGCTAAACTCAGCCAACCCTTAGGAGCAAATAATAAAATAGTCATTTTCATTTTAAGCCAAGAAGTTTGAGGGGATTTGTTACTCGGGAATAAATAACTGAAACAGACCCCTTTTCTACAGCTAACAAAGGGCACAGTCAGAAATCAAATCCACAGCTATCAATTTCCAGAACTTTTCAGAACTTACATGACCCACTTCTCTGGAAGTTTCTGTGTCTTCTGTCTCATTCAAAAAATCTGAGAAGGAGGAGGGTGGCCAAGGCATGCACTTCTGAAGAGGAAGGAACTCAGCTCACTACAGCAACATGGAGCCTCATGTATGTGGAGAGCATGGACTGAGTCCCTGCTGTGCTCTCCCGTGGGGTGCTAGGCACGTACACAAAGTTGTGAAAGTAATCCAAAGACACAGTATTGTGATCTGATTATATCGCTAGCCATCAGTAGGGCCTGTATCCAGCAGGTGCTTAATGCATGCCTATTACTCAGGATGAGGATAAGAATCGAACTAGAACCAAGAAGTCTTGCCTATGGCGATTAACAGTGTCAATAATGATAGGTGCTATGAAGAAAAATAAAGCCAGCTAAGGGGAAAGCAAGTGATGGGGGCTGCTAGTTTAGTTTGGGTGGCCCAGGGAGGCCTCTCTAGGGCCGTGACATCTGAGCTGAGGTTGGAGTGAACAGAGGGAGTGAGCCATGGAGTAGTCTAGCGTCTGGGTGGAGGGAATAGTGGGTGTGATGGTTCTGAGACTGGAGCAGGAGGTGGTGTGCTGGAGACAAGTGAGTGAGAAACAGGAGGAGCAGAGTAATAGGGTTGGATTCTGTGGGCTCTTGGTGTCCTGGTAAAGACTTTGAGTTTTACTCTGGGTACGATGGGGAGCCGCAGAAGGAAGGCAGAAGAGTTTAGTGACCTAAACTTCAAAATGGCCGCTCTGGACATCCTCAGGAATCCCTCTCTGTTTCTCAGGCCTTCCTTCCTCCCAATGACACAAAGGCATCTTCAGGTTCATTCCTGCCCACTCTGTAACCTCAGAGGGAGGAAAGAAAGTTCTTTCCAATACTTTTTTTTAATTCCTCACCCGAGGATATTTTTCCATTTGTCATTAGATAGAGTGGGAGGGAGGGAGAGAGAGAGACAGAGAGAAACATCAATGTAATAGAGACACACCTACTGGTTGCCTCCCGCACTACCTGACCAGGGCCGGGGATGAACTGCATCTGAGGTACATGCCCTTGACTGGAATCGAACCCATGACTCATTGGTCCAGGGGCTAACGCTCTAACCGCTGAGCCCAACCGGCCAGGGCTGTTTCCATTTTTTTTTTAAGTACATTTTTATTGATTTTTGAGAGAGAGAGGAATGGAGAGTGAGATAGAAACATTGATGTGAGAGAGAAACATTGATCAGCTGCCTCCTACTGGGGGTAGAGCCTGCAACCTGGGCATGTGCCCTGACCGGGAATCGAAAATGGACTTCTCAGTCCATGGGACAACGCTCAGTCCATGGGACAACGCTCAGTCCACTGAGCCACACCCTGAGCATTCCCAACACTTTAAAAGTTAGTCCTGAAGTTGAAGCTCATTGGATGGACTTGGGTTATGTACTCATCCCTGAGCCAATCATTGTGAGGGTGGGGTGGTGGAGCTTTATGATTGACCAGGCCTGGGCTATGTACCCACCTCAGTCAGGCCTCAGGAAATGCAGGAACTCATTATGGAAGAGGGGTCTTCCCAAGGAGAGCCAGGGTCCAGTTCTAGAGGCAGAGAGGTGACAGGCATGGGCACCTCTCAAGCCTGGGGTCATAGAGGGGGTAGCAATGTCACCAGCCATCTTATCCTGCTCATTTCAGAGGCAGAGCATTGTGGTTTTGAAAAGCTTTGTCTCTAGAGCCAGACTACCTTGGTTCAAAGCCCACATCTGCTCCTTGCCAACTGGATGACCTCGAGCCATGTGAAATTCTTAGAAGCAGAGCTTGAATTGGGGAGGATGAGCTCTCAGGAGGCATCTAGAAGGAGCTGAAGAAAACAACAGGACAGGGGAAGAAGCTGGGCAAAGATGTCAGTTTGACAGCAGGTTAGCTTCAGCCTGATCCCTGGGGGAGAGTGGGGGAACACTCCGAAGCATGACACTATGGAGTTGTGCCACCTTGTGGCAAGGGGCTCCAAGGGCTC